AACACATTCTACTCTTAGACTCTACTTTAGCCGACATTGCACCTACCACAGAATATCCTAGCGTAGGTCATAGCTAGGTCAGGTAGGTATAGAAGTCTTCAGCGTTAAAAGCTAGATTGAATTATTACATTATGAAGTAGCAAATTTTCAGAGCCTATGTGAGCTAGCTACAGGAGGTATCTGGTCTGAATCCTGCCATGATTCGGTATATCCTATGCAATAATACAATTAAAATGGAATCGACCAATAGCAAGGATACTTCAAGAATCCTTCGTAACGGCGGTGATCAAGAAGGATGCGGCTCATGTTGAATTATAAAGAGGTGTTGGTTCCCCCTATCCCCTCCGAACCGAAGCTTTAATCCTAAGAGCGGCACCAACACTCCGAGCTATCGGAGTCAGCTTCAACATCCATCTTCCGAAACTCTTCGGAGGACGGGAATTTCTATTCTGGGATTTTGATATGGCACGATCATTGCACCACTATTTCATTCCGCTGAAGGGAGTTGGCAAGAAGAGTACGGATTATTGGATGCAATGAACTACCAGAAGTATATCCTGATTTATTGTTGAGACTGTTTATAATGGCTTTGCTTTCCTTGTGACTTCGTTTTATATTATCGCCAGTATTAAACCATAACCCATATCATTTGACAAAAATTGAGAAGCATGGCACCTCAGAAAGTCATCATTGTGAGTTTGCCTCCTAATTATACCCCTGAATACCCCTGAATACCCTACTGACACGTCTCGAGATTGGCGGTTCCGTCGCTGGCCTGCTTCAAGGTCTACAACTTAAACGCCAGGGTAGCCATGTTGTCGTACTAGAACAGGACCCATCCAAAGATCGAGCCAGTCATGAATCTGGTGTATCTATTGGAAAAACAGTTGTTTCCATCCTGGACAAGTATGATGCAACAGGACGCCCTGCCGCTATTCCGGCCGAATACATGAGCGCTTCTTGGCGTCAGCTACGACGCATAGCGAACATGTCCTGGAAACACAACATGAGCAATTGGGGAACCCTCTACTTGATCTTGAGGGCCAACTTCGACGGGTTAAAGTCTACTTGTGTGTCAAACCCACCAGAGCCGAAACCTACTGATGGTAAGGTCGAATACCACGCCGGAAAACAAGTATATGGCGTGAGCTACAATCAAGACGAGGGTCTTGTGACCGTCTCATACTCCGACGTCGTTACCGGCGAGAAGGATAGCATTAACGCGGAGATGGTCATCGCCGCTGATGGGGTGCATTCTACCGTCAGGCAACTGATGCAAGCACCGACGAGAAAGGAATACTCTGGATACATCGGTTGGCGAGGTACCGTGCGCGAGAGTCTCCTGTCTAAGGAAACGATCGAATTCTTTTCGAACCGCTTGAATTTTACCTTACTAGGGGGTCATTATTTCATCAGGTCAGTAAAAGGGTTTCCGCATTAGATGCTGGACTACGCTAACGGGGAGTAGCTACTTGATCCCAACCGAGACCGGACACACTGAACCAGGTCATCGCCTCCTTAATTGGGTTTGGTACTACGTGGTTCCTGATGGTTCGCCCGAGATGGAAGCCATATTCACCGACGTTAACGGCAAGGTGCATCCCAACACCGTTCCTCAAGGCCTTGTCAACCCCGTCGTGTGGAAGGCTCAGATTGCGCGCTGGATGCCCCTTATGACCGCTCCACTCGCTGAAGTGGTGTCCAACACCCCTCAACCATTCGTGACAAAGGTGATCGAAGCCCAGACGAAGAAAGCGAGTTTCTTTGATGGGAGATTGGTTCTAGTAGGTGACGCATTCACCGGCTTCCGATCGCACTTGGGATGGGCGTCAGAGCAGGCTGCGCGTCACGCCGTCGCTCTTGACCGCGTGTGGAAGGGGGAGATTACCATGAAACAGAGAGATGAGGAAGCAGCCTTATATGCCCAGCGCTTCATCCATTTGAACAGGATGATGGGATTTACTGGTATGGGCTGGGTGGCGTCTTTTCTTAGAAATGCTTTGGCCTACATGTGGTTAATGATTTCTCACTACATTTCTACTCTGGTTTAAGCAGGCAGGCAATGTTAGACTGCGGTTTTCTTGTGGCAAAGGCGGATATCTCGGGCTTCTATGTATAAGTCGTAGACTGCACATGAATTTGAATGTAGATTTCGTTATATATCAATGGTAGCTCAATTCATACGGAAGATAAAAGTATCACATATGTCCTTAGAGTAAAAGCCATGCCCTCTGGTAGATACCCCTTAGGATAGTTGGTCGCAGAAAGCAACCAAAATTGTGTAGGACTAACATGGCTCTTTATCCACAGGTATGACTGCCTTTTAGCATTAGACGTGCTGCACAGTAAGTCTTTTTAAATACACCGTCAATTGTATTGAGATGTATGCTCTGCTAACTTGATGCATTGCGTGCTATCTTCAATAGGTAGTCAATCTTATCGCCGCCCTTTGCCTGCGGTGTCTTCTCAAAGTTTTCTCTAGGAAACAGTTGAAACATTATAACACTCCACCTCGACCACGTCAATTTCATCTGTACCCTTCTTACGAACTAAATTGAGTGTCGCGACGATAAATAGCTTCTGCATGTATGTGTAGGGCCCCCCAACTTCCATGACCAGCTTGGTGTTCTGCGCGTTGGTATTCCCAATGCCTTCTTCATGGAGGTAGAACGGATGCCCGTCGCTCGTGCGGCCATAGGCATAGATGTACGGACTTTGAGTTGCGTTTAATCGGTCGCCGGGGGTGTCGTTACGTATAATAGGGGCCGCGACACCGCCAGCTATCGTAGCTTGGAAATTTGGACCGTCGATTACCCCTTTTACAATAGGTTCCACGATGCGTATTCCACCTCCAAACAAATTCACCTGGAATCGTTCGCCGGTAAGGTAGACTTTTACGGTAAAGATGTGGTTTGACTTTAGCGTAGCTGGAGCAGTAACGTCGGTGGTCGGTGAACTCATAATGAAAAGCGAAGGCCTGCTATATTGTACTTGAAATGGGTTCAGTGGTGAAATCTTACACTCCAAATGAAGCTCGAGAGATTGATTGCTTATGAGGTAAATCGACAAGGAGCAGTGTCGCCAATTAATAACCCCTTTTAACTATCATATACCCCCTACAGTCTTCCTCCCATGAATAGCAGTGTGCACTCAATCCCATTGCAACTAACAATCTGTTTCTAGATCTCACCCATCTCAAAGATTCCGACTTTCAGCTTTTCCGGTCAAACATAATCTTTCCCTTACGTCAGAGGCTCCTAGCTAAGCCAAGCCACAGTTCCCGTTAGCGAGTCTTCCGTCTTCGGATTCCGATCTAGAATCCTGCCGAGTACCTACAGCGGAAAGGTTCGGACTCTCAAGTTTGCTTACTTGCTTCTGATTGACTCCTAATCGATGACCCAACATCTACATTAGGAGATATTATACTACCTACCGAGGTAAAGAGAAATAGGCTTACGCGGGATTCATTACCGACTTTATGCAGTGAGGCATGCCATTCGGGATATTCGCATTCGGGAAACTTGCCATTGCTGTTATTACGTCAATGGATTCTCAGGAACCTCCAACCTCCGGAGCATCCGCACAATCTTTATAAGGCCTTTGTTAAATATTCCGTCGGTTTTCGTAGAACTAGAATTCTGATATTAATATTTTAGTCTCGTTAAACTCCGGTTTCTAGTGAGCAAGCACTTGCGACTTTCTTCATCCTAGATACCTACTTAGGTAGATAGCCGACATGTCTGTTATGCCCGCAACCCACGGCCACAACGAGGCATGCTGCAACATCCCGCCTATTGTGTCTGAGGGTTATGTTCCAAAAGGTTCCTATGAAGAGTTGGGAGGCTACAAGACTTGTGAGTACTTATACCCAAAAATAAAATGCAGCGAGAGGTTACCTTGGCTAATCGTTATTATCATCATCGTAAGATGTTAGCGGTCCAGCCAGCGCTGAAAAGGGCGTTATAGTCATCTACGACATCTTTGCGTTTTTCAGTCAAACACTCCAGGGGGCTGATATCTTGGCCACCAGTAGAGAGAACCAGAAGTATAAGACTTTTATGCCTGACTGGTTGAAGGGTGACACGGCAAAAGCAGAATGGTGAGAATAATCCTGAAAAAGGCCAGGGGACCAGATAATTGACATGGCAATACCAGGTTTCCTCCAGACACGCCCGAAAGACAACAGGCTCTTGGTGGATTTTTCAGTAAACACGCTCCGCAGGCAGTTGCCGTTCAGCTCCCCGAATATGTCAAGGCCGCGCAAGCCGCAAACTCCACGATCAAATCTTGGGGCATCTTGGGAGTAAGTTCAACAATCCATAACATACCTAGATAGGTACACCGCGTTTCCATCATACTGACACAGTTCGCATCTAGTTCTGCTGGGGCGGTAAGGTAGCATCACTCGTCACGTCTAGCGAGGCAAACCCTTTTAAGATCGCTGCTACTTGTCACCCATCCATGGTCGACCCAACAGAAGCCGATGGCATCAAGGTGCCCTTCGTACTAGTCGCGTCGAACGAAGAGCCTGCGGGCAAAATCAAAGAATTCGAAAGCAAGCTGAATGTGCCCCACCATGTTGAGCTTTTTGAAGATCAGCTTCATGGATTCATGACAGCGCGAGCCGACCTGACTGACCCTCGTATCAAAGCCGAATATGGTCGGGCTTACAAGACGATACTGGACTTCTTCAGCAAGAACTGGGCGTAGCGGTGTAAATAGTTGAGGGATAGTCATAGGACGTTAAAAGAGCCTCTCCCCAGAAAATTTCGCGGCTGTATTAGTCTTGCACTATTGTCCCTTCTATTTGAACGGACTTCGTGGGCAGACCAACAGTGTAGCAACCACCTTTGAGCCATCTCAAAAGAGATGCAAGCGATTTCGATAAGTTTCATAAGCAAAAAATACCAAGAATCAATTTTCATGATGGCGGAAGTGGAGGCGGCGGCGGTTAGTTCATATAGCCACCAAAATCGCTAATTTAGTATCCAATTTCAATAGCCTGGCTGGCTCAATGGTAGAGCATCAGACTTCTACTAACAATGAAGATATTCCAATCTGAAGGTTGTGGGTTCGAGTCCCACGTCGGGTGGCTTGAATTTTTTGCGTGACGATCCGTAGACTCTCGTCGCGCTGGACTGCATGGTTGTCGGGCGGCTATTTCACAACCAGGATCCGGCCATCATAACCTGTGATAGATCTATCGCGCCTCAAGCTTGCTTGATTTAGCGGACCGGATCGTATAGAGATTGATGGAATGCACCCCGTAGTCGTAACCCCGCGTAAGCCAGATCTCGAGCTAGGGGACAAAGACTTCGGAGACATGCAAGGACCGGTAGATTTATTACCTGCTCTATTCCGGGGTAGAAACGTTGACTACTTACCTACGACTAGATGTTCTCTAGTAGTAGCAGAGTGTGCTTTCTAGCTCGACAGAAAGGATCGCTTTCGGGGAGATGGCTCGTGTCTCAGTTCTTACTAGACCCGAGAAAGCCACAGATAGAGTACGTGTTTATAGTAGCAACATCTGAACGACCGACTTAAGCATTGGAGGAGACCTTCAAGGCAACAGTGTTCATAGCCTCCCCATAAACGCTAGCATAGCTGCTACCGTGAAAATCGGCGTTTTCCGAGTCGACACAAGTGCCATTATCTCTTACTTCACGAGATAGACAGTAGGAAGATAAGATGATTCGCTAACCCAAAAATGTACGAGCATGTAGCCTCGTATTGGGTATAAGGTATCTTGCGCCGGTCGAATTGATACACCCGAGAGTCGTCATGTTGAAACTGGTCGCCAGATCATAGTTCGTGTGCGAAGAGCAGTACTTCTAGGAGAAGAGGTAGAGTAAATATGTCAGCTCCTTAGAGACGGATGTTTGATTTGACTGTCGCAGTTTGCTTCCAGAACACGAAGTCCCCCTTGTGGATTTGGGGCCCTTACTTTCCCACCATGCATACCTAGGTAACAATACTCCTTGGACTAAAAATAGCGCCGAAAGCTCGAATAGGGCTTTTTAATAATATTCCTCGAGATAATCATATGCATGTGCTTAGCTAGGTTTCAATCTATCGTGGGGTCGTCCAACGTTCTGGCCGTCGCCTCATGTTGGGAACCCTAGCTTACTCGAAGCTGGCCAAGAGATATCTTCCCTGTCACCTGGGGTACCGATAGCTGCACGTGCTGCTCACCCGCATTAGGAAGGTCATAAATCATAATCCTGGGCTGAAATGCCTTGGTTCGGAGCATTTGAACTATTGTGGCTAAGAGTCTGGACTGGAGTTGAGATAACAAGTGTTGAAATCTTCTAAGAGTCTCAAATGTCTGAAAGATTGATTGGCACGAGATCCATCTTAGCCAAAACATCCCGCCTCTCTGGGTCCAGGGATGCAATGTGCATACAGTTTCATTTCAGCTGGGGCCACCGGTCAGCTTTCAGCGTCTGCTTTTCTATCTCCTCTCTTAGACTGACTAGTCAGCTGGGAGTGTCCCGTGGTTTCACAACCTAGGAGATAAAGCGCATACCCGCGAATAGGGAGTAGTGTAATGAAATAGCGGTCATTTCAATTATGTTATAGGACGTGGTGCCCCTCTAAGCAGAATAGGCAAGCAACTGCGTCTCTCCGCATGTTATGCTCTCAAGATACGAAGTTGCGCAGTTTCGGATCACAGCGAAATAATCACCAATAGGGTTATGGAAGTTGAAATGGGGATATGGTTGGTGGAGAGGACCGATGTAATCCAAGACGTATATTGCCGTTTTAGGAAGATCATAGCCGGTATTACCGCGTCCTTGAAAGCCGTGGAGGTATTATGGGTGTAGCTTGTGGGTACCTTTATCTAGGTACATCATATGTCAATGATCTTGCTTCTTTTTCTGATGATCTGATCCTATGTACTAGTTCTATCCGATGACGGGTGGCTTTTGCCTTTATGTATAGGTAGGTATGTGATGAGTCTCATGTATAATTCATTTATATACCATCCTAAATGCCTAGCTGGTAGGTACTCAGGATTGCGGACTTTCATAGGTAGGCAAACAGTGCCACAATCATCGTGAATTCTTGATATTAACTCCTTAATTGATCAAATCTGCACACACACCTGCCTATCAAATTGCTTACGCGTGCTGGATATGCGAATTGTGCTAGCGTACGATCTCAACTGCAACCCCCACAAGGGTTGACCCTTAAGTTCTGGACCAGACTCTAATTAGCTTGTCTACAGGGGCTTATAACATATGATAACGACAGTTGGATACATTCGAATTGTCCTGTCCATGGAGTCTTCCGATGCTAGATACTAAATGATACCAAGAGAATACCTACATCTTATAACCTACAGGTTCATGTAGGTACGCCAATAAGCGAAAGTAACGTCGTGTCGTCTATCTCGTTGGTTTGTGCACCCCTGTCTACATGTATCTTGCCGGGGGGCCTATCAATACGTACCGAGAAAAAGACAAGGGAGTATCCGCTAGGAGCAGCGAAAAGAAAGGTGCATCGGCTTTCCGTTATCATGACGCATTGTCCAATCAGAGCGAGAAAGATCTTCGGCGCCCCATTCCTCTGGAAACGCCAACCTCCAATTATGAAGTATCACTGATCTTGGGTTATTTCTTTCCTCTCCTACCATATCGAGAGATTGCGGGCGTCATGGCAGCTTGTTTGCTTGCAGTCTATAGCGCGATACTCCAGCTTATAGTCCATATATGTACTATGCTGTAAATAAAGAAAGATACCTATTGTACTATTGTATTACTTTCTTACGAGCCTCTTACTAATGAACTACGATTTGTATGTCGTCAGCTTGGGCTTTGTTGCGCCGAGATCTCCCCATCGTCTGACCGTTAGTCGACCATTATCAAACACAATTCGTCAAATAGAAAAAAAAAAAAAAAAAAAAAAAGAACTAATTCTGTGTATCACTGTGTGTGTAGTGGATGGATTNGCTTGGGCTTTGTTGCGCCGAGATCTCCCCATCGTCTGAATATATTAAATGCAAATAATAAAGCTTTTTTTCGAATTTAAAAAAAAAAAAAAAAAAAAAAAAAAAGAATTCTGTGTATCACTGTGTGTGTAGTGGATGGATTCATGGGGGCGTCCGCCATCAAGCCGCTGTACAATTAGATTGGACTGATAGGGTGGCCTTCCCCTTCTAGAAGACCTACATGCCTAGCTCTAGCGTTCGACCGGGTTCATCTGGGCACACGCGATCGCCACAAGTGTAAGTACGATTTGCCCACCGAGGCTGACCTTGGAAAAAGTATTAAAATTCCTGCTCTGTCCAATCTAGAGGAGAAATGTCGATGGCTTGGTTGCGCTGTCCCGCGCTTGGCTGACTGACGATAACAATAAACCTGTCTCCTCCCGTTTCCCCCTTTTCCCCTCTCTCTCACTCTCCTCTCTTTTTGATTGCCCATGCATTTTGCATTAAGCTCCCGGGAATATTAACGTGGTTTGCCCACCCCCACATTCTCGGTTGGGACGAGAGTCAAGTTTCTCCGAGTCAAGTCCGCCGAAGCTAAGTACCTAAAGAACGCGAGACAGTGGAAAGGATAGGAAAATTTATTTCCTGTCGCGAAATCCGATCCGATGACTTTTGAGGAGAAAGGCCAAGGCCTCGCCGGCCACAATTCCTCACAGCAAGAGGGCGTGGTTCCTAACCCAGATCCCACCCTCGATTTCTCCAATGAGCACCACCACCAGCATCTGCACCACGGCGGATTCGCTGCCGATCCCGTCAATCATCCAGATGAGGTCGTGTATTCCGCCAGCACGCCGGAAAAGAGCCTAGAGAAACCGCAGGATTATGCGTCCGCCGAAAAGTCGCTTACCGATGAGGAGAGTGGAAATGTAGGCAACATTCGCGAAGTCGAGAACAACCCGAAAAAATACTCCATCGCCTATTTTTACCGCAAATTTAGAATTTATATTCATCTTTTCATCTGGAGCGTGTTCACGGCGTAAGTCCACCGCGGTTCTTGGTAGAGAAGAGAAGAGAATCGCATTGGCGCATCAAGTCGCAGAGCTGACATAGCTTCTTCAGATGGTGGATCTTTGGCCTTGTTCGATATCGAAATGAGAAGAATTGGCTGATCCCTTTCCTGCTGTATCTGGCCATTACGCTTCGCATCATCTTCCTCTGGATTCCCGTCAAATATGTCATGATACCCGTCAAGTTCACCTGGCGGCATACTGCATTCAGGGTTTACGAACATATACCAAAGAAGCTTCATAGGCCACTCGCTACAGTGGTCACCGTCGGCGTGTTTCTTGTTGGATCTATGGTACCCGAAGAGACGGGAGAAAACACTCGCGCCCGCCGAGCGCAGTCTTTACTCGGCTTCGTCGTCATGATAGCGATAATGACTTTGACTTCGAAGAATTGGAGAAAAATCCCCTGGCATACCGTCATCGGTAAGTGAGCCCAAGACTGTGTTGCAGCACTCCCTTGTGCTCATCCGCTAACTCATTTCCTCGCAAAGGTGGAATGCTCACTCAATTCGTCATTGCTGTTTTCGTCCTGCGCACCCAGGCGGGTTACGATATCTTCAACTTCATCTCCACCTTGGCGCGACTGTTGTTGGGATTTGCCGACCAAGGTGTTACGTTTCTTACGGACTCTTCCGTCCCCGAGCTTCCTTGGTTTTTCACCAGTGTTGTGCCACCCATCATCTTCTTCGTGGCCCTCGTCTCCCTTCTGTATCATGTTGGTCTCATCCAATGGTTCGTCGGCAAATTTGCGGTTTTCTTCTTCTGGACACTCCGTGTCTCCGGTTCGGAAGCTGTGGTTGCTGCCGCGACGCCGTTCATCGGACAGGGTGAATCCGCCATGTTGGTGCGCCCGTTCGTACCGCACATGACTCTGGCCGAGATCCATCAGGTTATGACTTGTGGTTTTGCTACCATCGCAGGTTCCGTTCTTGTTGCCTACATTGGAATCGGTATTAACCCACAGGCGCTTGTCTCCTCTTGCATCATGTCCATTCCTGCGTCACTGGCTATTTCGAAGATGCGATGGCCTGAGACGGAAGAAACATTAACATCAGGCCGCGTCGTTATCCCAGATGACGAGGAGCACAGAGCGTC